AAAAAATATATGACTTGAATAATAAGTTTCTTGTAATATTTTAATAAAAATTGTTATTGTTAATAATAATTAACAATAGAAAAAAATAAGTTTTGCATATTGGTAAAAAAAACCTTGCTTCATCGTTTCATATTATTTTTATACGCTTTTGCTATACAGGGTGATAGGATAGGTGGTAAAACTTTAGATCATTATTTTTCGATCAAAATTATAAAAAAAATTGTAATTAATGTAAAATAATTAATGATTAAATTATTATCTGTGATAATTGTCACAATGTTATCAGTTTTGTAATCGAAAGTTTTAAAAATAAATAATTTGAGATAAAATTCGTCTTATTTCTCATCCCAAAATAATGAGATAAAAATAATGCAAGTTTTTGTTGTATACAAGGTGAGTCAACGATTCTCCAGTTCTAGTTTTTTTGAGTGAATCACCCAGTATAAAATTTTAATTATACTTTTTGATAATTTAAAACTGTTAAAAACACGCAAACACTGAGTGAGTCATTGAAATAAGGAGTTCTATTATTTCAGGACTTTTTTATAATACTTAATATTGCGAAAAATTGCAACCACATATTTTACATTGAAAAAAAAACAAAAAAAAAATTTAAGAAAATATCCAGTGACCTGTAAGATTTTGTGGTTTCGAGGAAACTACATACAGGGTGACCCAGGGGTGAGTGCAAGCTTCATAACTTTTTTTCTATTCAAGTTATCGGCATAATTTTTTTAGGCGATAGCTCCGACAATGAGGAACATTATAAAAATATTTTTATTCATATACAAGGTGTCCCAAAATAATAAAAGAAAACCCCAAATTTTTCTTTCTTAGACTTATCTGCAATAGTTTCTGACTTATGCCAATGTATGTGTCAAAATTGCGTCGTGTGTAGATCCATAAAAAAATTCATAACTTTAAAACTATTCAAGACAACTTAACCAACTTTTTTTCAGTCGATTCTACGATTTTTTGAAAATGACAAAATACAAATGGCAATAACTCGTTTTTTTTTTTAATACAACACTCTTTGTATCATTGCATGGCATTTTTTATAAGCTTTTTGTCGATGTAGGGTTTATGAGGTCTACTTTGTAAAATTCGTGATATTTTATTTTGTTTATAAATTTTGACATATAAATTGGCATAAGTCAGAAACTATTGCAGATAAGTCTAAGAAACCTAGGTGCGTTATATTGGCAATTTAGTGGCGAATCCAAAAATGTAACAAAAATTTGGGGTTTTCATTTAAAAAACAGAACTTTGTTGTGTATCTTATTTTGGGACACCCTGTATATGAATAAAAATGTTTTTATAAAGTGCCTCATTGTTGGATCTATCGCCTGAAAAAAAATCATGCCGATAACTTGGATAGAAAAAAAGTTATGGAGCTTGCACGCACCCCTGGGTCACCCTGTATATAACGTTTTTTTACATTTCTAGTGCATAAGTAAAAGGTAAATATTTTTTTTGATACACCACCATTAGTATACAGGGTGGCCCCAACTTTCATCTATCAGACAGATGAGAGTGACATAACAATAAATTGGTGACAAAAATATCGTTTTCCGAGTAACTGATTCATCAAAAATAAACACTTTCGCGTGTTAAGACGTAATATGATAAGATAAAATTATTACGCATAAATAAATATTTTTGTCAAAACACCTGTTCGTCATGTTTTTGGTTTGAGTCATGAAATGAGACACTCTAATTGGTTAAAACAATTTATTATACAAAAGTCAAACGAAATATAAGAGCCATTAATAATAATTAACAGTCGTTAATATACACAAATCTAAAAAATATATCTTAATTAGTCGCTTAGAATCTAGAAGGCCCATCTTTGAAGGCAGCTCGATTTAAGGCAAAATCATGTGAATCACATCTAACTGACTTAAGTACAGCTAAACTAATAAATGGCACGCCATCTATCGATAAAAAAGTGGCAGTAGGAGATTACTAATTACTATTTACAAATAATTTAAAAAATAATCAGATCTAACTCTTCCCGGCATATGTAGGGTTTTTGAATGTGGAGGTTGCCTGCTTGTAGATGGGATTTTCGCCCTGGAACTCGAAAATTAGCCCCACTTTTGGGCAAAACAAAAACGTACCGTATCCCATCTGGCCATCATGGCCTCCTTTTCGAATTTGGCAAACTCCCTCCGGTCGTGGATCGTCGTGAAGAGCTTCCATAAAAGTAGGACTGCCATGCCGAGGAGCACCACGGCGGCGATGACCCCCAAGACGATCCCCAGGAGGAAGACAGTGGCGGGGCATTCGCGCTCCTCCTGGGCCCGGACCTGGATTTTGTTCTCCTCGTCGAAGTAGTAGACGAAGGAGAAGCGACAATCGTCCTCGTCGTAAAACGGGCATAAAACCTCGCCGTTTTTCTCGTCAACTAGAAACAAATTTTATCTGCATAACGTCGTAAAACGGGCATAAAACTTCGTCGTTTTTTCGTCAAATAGGCAAAAATTTTG